TGGTTTCTTATCAGGAAATTGTAAGTCTTAGATTCACATTTCACTATTCCCAGTATAATCCTAAATTGCAAATACCAAAAGTACTTCGTGAATACTGTTTGCGTCATTCTGTCATGCTAAGGGCTGATTGATACCTTATGTCAATTCTTTCTTTAGGTCAAAATATTCTTGACATGACACAAGGAGGTGATGCAAAATCATACCAGAATAACAACATTCATTCTGCTGGGGATGACGGATAACCCAAAATTACAAATTGTGCTTCTGGTATTTTTATTTCTCACCTATATTTTGAGTGTTGCTGGAAACCTGACAATTATCACCCTCACTCTTTTGGATTCCCATCTCAAAACTCCCATGTATTTTTTCCTCCGAAATTTCTCTTTCTTAGAAGTTTCATTCACTTCTGTCTGTATTCCAAGATTCCTATACAGCCTGACAACTGGAGATAGAGCTATTACTTATAGTGCTTGTATCACCCAATTATTTTTCATTGTCCTCTTTGGAGCAACTGAGTTTTTCCTCCTTGCGGCCATGTCCTATGATCGCTATGTGGCCATCTGTAAGCCTTTGCATTACATGACCATCATGAACAACAAGGTGTGTACTACACTCGTTCTCGTCTGTTGGGTTGCTGGATTATTGATTATCCTCCCACCTCTTAGCATAGGTCTCGAGCTGGTATTTTGTGACTCAAATCTCATTGACAGTTTTGCCTGTGATGCATATCCTATTCTACAGATAGCCTGCTCAGACACAGTGCTTATAGAAAAAATTGTTTTGGCTTTTGCTGCATTAACATTGATTACCACACTCCCGGGTGTAATTCTTTCCTACGCATACATCATCAACACCATTGTAAAATTCCCCTCTGCTCAACAAAGAACAAAGGCTTTTTCCACCTGTTCCTCTCACATTATTGTTGTTTCCATGTCCTATGGCAGCTGCGTCTTTGCCTACATGAAAACTTCAGTAGATGATGGAGTAGCCCTTAATAAATTGGTGTGTCTCCTTACTACTTCAGTGGCCCCTATGCTTAACCCATTCATTTATACACTTAGAAACAAGCAAGTAAAAGAC